CAGCGGTCAGAAAGGTTGCTGAAGGTTGCAGCCATTGTTTCAATCAGATGTTGTATTGATATAAATCTTAATTAAATGCTTGGTAGAGTTGTGTACATTTTATTTGCAGACATGCATTTGAGAGGTTGGGGGTTAAACTAAGATCCTGACTGTGATTTTTGCTTTTGCTCGTGAGCAAAAAAGTACTTCCCAACCAAAGCCAGCAAAGATCAGAGGTGAGGGTCAGGGGTCAGAGAGGCGTGGCCTCAGTCCCAGAGACGCCCCCAGGTTTACACAAGTGTAAAAAGAGTCCATTCAGATGGGCTGCATGGGCAGAGTTTCACAAAGGTCCACTGTGTGGGGCCTATACACCCCCCCCCCCATCCACACACACACACACACACCTCCTCCTCCAAGCGCCATGCCTACACAGGACGCAGACAATGGGGAGTCTGGTCAGCAGCGCCACATGCATGTTGACCTGAAATACTTTCCTGCATTACAGCAGAATGAAACTACCGATTTCTTCCTCGGATCAAACGTCTTCCAACCGAACTTTGTGCTTCACTGTGAACATGAATAAAAAGCTTGGAATCATTATTCTGCGGTAACAATCAAAGTAAAGCATGAAGTAGATTTAATAAGACAGCGAACCTCACAAGGCTTTCCTAATCTCTAAAAAATATTCTAGATATTTTTTAATATATTTCTATTTGTAAATGCTCAATTCTTTTCTAAAACAACTGGGCGCTGTGGCTTTTGGAAAACATTACCAGAAGGCGCAAATATTACAATTGTTGTGGACGGTCTTCAGTGGCGCATTGATGTCAATTTGATGATATGATGAGTGTTCAATGCAGCAGTCTATTTGGGATTAACACAAAATTGATCATCCAATTGATCAAATTCTTTCATGCGGTACACTGAATATTTGCAGCCCGAATGCTTGAAACGTTTCTACATTTTGCATTAAATAATGATATTATTAGCCTTCAAACATTTCAGCGACTCGCCTGTTTGTATGGTTCCATCAGCCTCCCGAACTAATCTGTTTAATTTAGTTTGATTATTCTGGGTGCTCTAATTATTTTCAGTGTTAAAGTTTCACCAAGGAAGATGGATAATTGCCGCCTATAAAGTCAACGCTATTCATTTGGCATTACTGATGATAATTATAATCATATTGCTTGTCCAAGGTTTGTTTTCAGTTCAATAGGGATACGGAATTCATCCAGGCTTTTACTTTAGTTGGTCAACCTCTTCCTCCACCAAAAACCGAACCTGTGGGAACACAATGCAGGCGCACGCAGCCCACCGGCAGCTAATGGTCACATTCTGAACATCAGCTTCAAACCAAAACGTCCTCCAGGCTGACCATCTTTTTCCAACTCTCGGTATTATTTTAAAGTGCAGTAATGATCTGTCTTTTTTTGGGGAGGGAAGGAGAGGAGGTGAGGGGCGGGTTATAATTTAGCCCTCATCTTCCTTTTCACTCAGTAAAAGGTTGGATTATGGCCAGATTAAGGGAGTGCCTTTTTCTTTATCCCTGGGTAAGCCTGCACAGCACGCAGCTCAGAGGTAATGAAGCACTCTGTGATCCGCGCTCGGATGAATCTAAAAATTCCCCCAGCGACACTGTATTTTAAAGGAAATGAGCTTTCCCTGAAAGCCTCCTTCAAACCTATGCTTTCCATTTTGGAACGACTATAAACTGTGAGACTGCTTTCAAACCGGAGCAAGAACCGAGACCTGTTGCCATTTTTAAATTGAAGTAGATGAGAAGGTGGAGTTTTGAGTTTTTTTGTGTTCTTTTGTGACGTTTCAAAGTGAAACAAATGGAAATGAAAAAAACAATTATCTCCGATGCTTTCAATCTAAATTTAAACACATTCCTTTATCAGAATGGATTAGATTGTCGTCAAATTGAACTGCGTTTTCACTTTTTCTCCCAGTCGTGCAACGACATCATCGGTTTTGTAAAAGTTTGATTATTTCGGCAACCGCCGAGATCGAATGACCCTTTAAATTATTTTAATCGGGCAACGTAGGTCAATGCTGCAAGAGCAAATAGGACATGAAGATGATAGTTTTCAATCAATATCGTTGCCTCTACCCAAAACGACCACCAGCAGTTTTTCCTCTTGCTGAACTCAAAATGTTTGCACCCAAGATGACCGCCAGTCGACATGAACCATTCAAGCATCGAAATGGATGATGTTAAAATGTACATTACATTCATATCTTTATACATCGTATACAAATACGAACTCTACATTCATAACGACGGATGAAATCAAACAAACGATACAAAGAACCGACATGAAACTGCCTAAACAAATAACACAAATAGCACTATTTGAGCCGTACCTAGACATTTGAACCATTACACCTGTAGAGAGGTGAAAAACATATTCCTGGGAAAAGTGCCATCGGCAGGAGCAAAAGGTCTCCGTATGCTTCAAAGGAACCAGGTCATATGTCGTGTGGTCTGACCACATCTAAAGCTACACGTCTTTACACCTGTCCAGGACGGATCCTACCTCCCCAATGATGTCCAAGAATGAGGTGTCTCTTACCTGTCTTTGTATTTTCGATGATGTCATTTTTACAGTTTATTTTTAAAACAAACCCAAAACAGTTAGGTTTCTTGCAAACAACTTCTGACTAAAATAAGTACGATTTTAAAGCATACTGAGAGCTACTAGTCCACAAAGTGGCGCATGAGCCACTTCTGCCTCTGGGAAACTAACAAGTCCAGAGATTTAAATACGGAATGCCTCGAATCCAGAAAACCAATGCAAACGTTAATGTCCGTGTCAGAGCAGATTTTTCAGAGAAGTTTGCCTGCGGCCACGAAGACCTTCAAATAAGACTGAACCGCTGTGTCATGCCATGCCAAAGCATTTGACTCTCATTGGTTGTTGTTTGCAACTCCTTAACACCGTTGACCAAGCCTCACTCTTTGGCTACGAGACACCTTTAGTTATCGGGTAATATTGGTGATAATGCTAATCCTTCCCCCTCAGCGCACCGCCGCAAACCACAGTGTGCCGTCGTCCGCTGCTGATTGACGGAAGCCACTGAGTGACGCGTTGCAGACACCGGACGGCCTCCCTCAGATGGGCTGCTCAGGCCCGACTTGTCCGTTGCTTCTATTTGATCAGCCTCATAGTCTGTGGAGTGTTGATGTGAGCCTCCGGCTGCGAGGTGACTGAACTCGTCCTCCTGGACGATGACTCCATCCCAGCTCGAGGGTCTTACTGCGGCTGGGTTGAACAGGTCGTCCTTGCACCATTTGGCAAGGCTCCTCACGTAAGGTGCTCTGCAACCCTCAGTTGTTGGATGTGCTTTACCTGCTGTTTTATTTCCAGTCAGTCAGTGGTAGGTACGTTTCATTTTAATAAGTAAATATCATATAAAATATCCAATCTGTTATTTCTATACGAGCAGGCATATGTCAACCCACTGGTGGCTTAATACTAAAGCGAGGGATCAAAAAAATCATTAGGATGCATCTTCTAGAAGACAAAAAAGGTTTGTGCCAGTGTGTCAAAATCTTTGATGGGCTTCACAAAAAGATTTAAAAACAAAGTCAAAAGCGAGCATGCATGTCTGTACAAACAAGACAGAAATGCACACACACATTGTGGTGATATTCTCCTCTTCCTTCTCCTGCTTCAGCCATGATTTTACAATCAAACCGAGACAAACAAAGTGCTTAAATGCAGAATAATTTATATTTCAGACTTTGCAAACAAAGACAAAGTAAGAGTTTTCCAGGAGCACTTAAAGAAATAACATCAATAGGAATAAAATATTGTGAAATGAAACCATCAGTACGAGATGGCTCCCAGTCAGTAATCGTCATTAAGACAAAAGTATCAATCAAGTTTCCTTTCAGAGAAGCTCTAAAGTATGCTTTTACCATAAAAGACTCCAGGAGGTATGTCAGGCCAAACTATAATGAGGTGTACCATCCACTGCGCAGCAGAAACAAAGCAACAGAAAAATGATTGCTATGCTAAGAAACAATTAAGGCCTCTTAATGCACCGCGAAAGCATTCGCCTGAGAGTCGTTCACCATATCGATCATCGACGACATCTTTTTACCGCATAAGAAAAAAGGGGCCACTGGTTCCCATGTGCAGTTTATTTAGTTTCATGGCCTTTCTTCAAATTAGTGTCAGTATCTTAAAAGCAGACCGCTCCTGCAAGTTTTTAAAAAAAATCTTTTAAATCAATTGCCTTATAATTTATTTTATTTCTTTGTGTGCTTTTTTGCTTGTAATCTAGTTCACACACAATTGCCACTGAGGAATGAAAAATATGCATCCTTTTAACCTTTGGTATATGAACATTGTGCGTTTGTTTGACGAACGACATGCATGTACGATATATCAAAAGTTAAATGTACACATCGAATCTGCTCTCTGAGGTTTTTGTCTTTCTTTTGCATAATGTCTAACTGAATATGTAATGTTTATATTGATATATAATAGTTTGATTAGTAAAAGAAGAATACTTAATACTAGATCTTTTATAAAATGATATTATTAAACCATTACACATTTCCGGGGTGACTTTGGTTCCTTCAGCTTTAATACATCATTGTGAACACTTGTAGCATCTCGAGGCGGCCGATTCGAACCTGTTGAGACGCAAGAACTTGGTGTGGTGTTTTCTCTCTTTTGGCATTACGATAATTTAACAGTTTTGATCAATAAAACATGCTTGCGTCAGTCTCATCACGCGGGACGTCTCAGCGCGCCTCGCGTTCACCTTTGCCGTCCTCTGCTGCCCCAAACACGGACCAAGTCGACTTTCATTGAACGATTGGAGGGGGGACAGAAAGAGAGAGAGATAGAGAGAGAGAGGGGGGGAGACTCTTCCCCCACATGGCCGCCGAACCCTCCCCGGCGGGAGTTTGAGCTCCACCTGCGGGCCGCGAGCGCATCCCGTCACACCTGGAAGGCGTCGCCCTGCCTGTCGTTCGGCGCACTGTAACGCAGCCGTTTGACGCGAGACAGCCCCCTAGGTGTCTCACTTCTCTCAGTGTTCAGCGCGCGCGCGCGCGTGTGTGTGTGTGTGTGTGCGTGTGTTTGCGCGTGTGGCTGGACCGGCCTGCTGCTCGTCTGGCTGCGTTGACGTCAGCGCTGATGTTGATTTGCTCAGGCGAGGGAAGAGAAAGGAGTTAGTGCGCGTTGAGAGAGCGGCCACTGCGAGCCGCCTTCACGATGCTGTAGCCGCGCTCCCTCCTTCCCTCCTCCTCCTCCTCCTGCTCCTCCTGCACTGTACGGAATCATTAAACGTGCAACTTGGGTGAGTACCGAATCCGGGCGAAACGCGGGCTGCAGTTTCCGCGGCGACAAGTGCCCGGAGCCGCGACTCCGCACGCGCGTGCCGCTGTTTTCTCTCTGTGTACTTTCATTCACCATGTGGATATTTGGATGCGTTTATTGCGCCGGGGATCGTTTTTTTTTTTCCTTTTTCTTTTTTTCCTCCTTCCTCTTCTTGTTGCTTCTCCCCGTTCGACCTCACGCTGAAGTTAACAGCCGAACGCGACTTCGGCACGCGAGTTGGAACCTGCGCACCGGCGGGGCGCTGCATGGAAAACAAGTGTTTCCCCTGATTGCGCCCGCGAAGGTGTTGAAGTTTGCATTAACACACGGTATCTATTGTAGAGATGTTAAGGTTGACGTACGCCCCTCACCACCACCACACACCCCACTCACACACACACACACACTCACACACACCGCGGTGGGTTTAGTATGCCGGGGATCGCGGCTGGAGGACGTGAGGTCTGGGCAGTTCCAACGGGAGACAGACAACACATGACGCCCCGCTCCATGTGACTTTACTGGAGAAATCGCGTTGGCTCGTTTTGAGGGGTATTGTGATCTTTTTTTTTTTTTTTTTCTAGATGTATTTTTAAACAGCGACACTGTTGCCCGTCCTCGTGTCTCCAGTTGCACCAGTGTGGCTCATTTGGCCGTGATGACATCACGCAGAGGACTGGGCACACTGGTCGTTTTTTTTTACTCGAAACGAACCCAAATCTTCAGCTGATTGACGGGCAGCTAAAGACGTGTGATTGGTGACCGATAATCGATTCGCAGGAGCGCGCGCGCGGCGCGAGGTGTGTGTGGGGGGCGGGAGCTGGTAACCGAAGCAATGGCAAATTGATTTGTTATCGAGACTGTCTGATCTCGCTCTCTGTGTCACTCTCCTTTTTTGTCCTCCCCTCTTCACCCTTCAGGCATCGCTCGCTCTCTCTCTCATCCCCCCCCCCCCCTCATCAGCTGTCAATGTTCCCCTTTAGCGTGTTTTCATTTGGTCACAAACAAAGTCCACCTGTGCGCCGGTCTGAGGAGAGCTGCCTTCAATCGGCGTGAGATTGTCCCAGCTGTCCGTCTCGCGTGCACTTTTAGCACGCTCAATGTCTCCTCTCCCCCTCTGGTTAACGATGCTGTAGCATTTTGCTGTCCCCCACATTTGCGCGTGTCAGTGTGGAATATTGCGCGCTGCTCGTGCGCGCCGTGGCAGACGACTCGTGACCAGATTGATTGTGGAGCCTTTCCGTTGAAGTCGGCGCCAGGCGGTTGTTGTCAGCGGCCCGCGTTGGGCTCGAGCCCTCGCGGCTGAATGTAGTTGGCGTTTTGCATAATGCATAACGCGCTGTGTAATTGCTCTGGTGCGTCTGGGGGGGCGGGGGGGGGGGTTCGCGCCGTCTAGACGCACGTCCCGTTTGTAAATACAGACGCGATAAAGTCCCCAAACAGGAAGTTCGCCTCGTGTCCCGCAGGGCGCAGGAGCCCCGGCTTGTGCCCACAAGTGCGCAACAAGCATCGGTCGTTTACGGGGCCGTAAACCGGCGCTATTGGCATACCTGTAATAAAGATAATGTCGGGGGTTAAACGTGACCTCTGTTGATTTGAGAGGCTGGAGCTCCGCTGGATGAGAACTTGTGGTTTTAATCTTCTAAATAGATTGCATCAATGTGCCCGAAATAAAATGAACCCAAAGCGGGCCATGCTGTGCATTTACCACGAGCCTTCAGCACAAACGACAGCTGCCAGCTTCATTCACCTCCTGCATGCGGGCATATAGGCTTTAGAGATTGCATATCTGGGAATTAGATTTACTTTTTAAAAAAAAAGGAGACTGTGTGGTGTTGCTAGAAGGCTGGTGACATTTCCTCTCCTTTTTGTCTGTGCGAGTCTGTATTGTTCACTAACTTATCTTTGTATTCCCTGGATTTTGGGTATTTTAAAGCCGTTTAAAAAAAATAGCCTGAACTAATTTCAGGCTTTTTGAAAATTAAAAAATATTGCCACAGCTTTGAAAATGTGTCTCATGCTGAATAAATTGAGTGGATCATTGGACACGAACTAACTCGTCCAGGATGTGGTTCAATGGAGACACTTGGCTGGAAGACATTCTGCCTGTCATTCAATGCACATGTAGTGGCAAGACTGTTTAATTCATTGCCACATTGAAGTGATAATTGTTTCAGCGCATGTCTCACTGATCATGTTAACATGGGAGTCACGGAGGAGTCATTCATTTCAAGTACATAGCGGTTAGGGGATATCATTTGATCCCTTTTTGTGTTTTTTTTTGGTGTTGCTCTGAGTCCGCTGCGGAAATGAGGTGAAGCAACATGTTGCCCTGTTAGCTTGCATACTAGAGCGATGCCCTCATTAATTTGGATATTCAACATCAGTGAGTGAAAGCAGACCAGGGCGTGCGGTGCTACAGTGTTGTTTTCTTCCGCCCGGTTCTGCTTTGCTTTCCTTTCCATCCATTTCTGGCCGCCGCTCTCTGCTCCCGTCTGTGACGGGAATACTGAGTAAGATGCTGTTTGATTTCAGAAAGGCCACTGATGGGCTTTGTGAGGAAAGGCAGCAGTGGAAAAACCACAGCTCACACTTGTTTAACTGTGTTTTCATCTCTGTCAGATAACCAAATGAAGAGCTCTTTTTAACGTAACATATGTTGGACTGATTGGTATGCAGGGGGAGCCCGTCGGACGGCTCACAAATTGTCTCTTCTGAAGTCTAGAGTCGATGCTCTCCGCTGATTTGTGTTTACCCTGCCTGCAGGATGTTTGCAGTTTGAAACTCCCACTGACTTCTCTCTCTCAAAATGAATAGCGGTGTACATGAAATACATTTGACAACCTCATGACATCTCTTATATTATAAGATGTTAAAATACCGAATTTGTTTTTTATATGCGTTTGTGAAGGACGACTGTCAATGATCGTGCATTTATGGCATTTAATATACAATTAACATGAATTCTTTAAATCTTTGGAAAAGAATAGTGATGCTGTTCTTGGAGTTAAGAGCTTAAATACTTGGGGATTTTTCCTGCACAACATTTTTACTTTTGCTTCAGAATTTAACAGAACTGATTTTTTTTTCTTTTCCATTCTGTTTTTTTTTCTCCAGGTTTCGTCTTGTTCACAAAGTTGGCTAAAAACACTGCTGAACGGGGAAGGCCAGCCTCATGAGTCGGCCTCGTGGATTGCATCGGTATAATGGATTTGTCTAAAATGGGTATGATACAGCTCCAAAACCCCAACCACCCCACTGCCCTGCTGCAGAAGGCCAACCAGATGCGCCTGGCCGGGACCCTGTGTGATGTGGTCATCATGGTAGACAACCAGGAGTTCCACGCTCACCGGACTGTGCTCGCCTGCACAAGCAAAATGTTTGAGATCCTCTTTCATCGCAGCAGTCAGCATTACACCCTGGACTTTCTCTCACCAAAGACTTTTCAGCAGATTTTGGAGTACGCTTACACTGCCACGCTCCAGGCCAAGGTGGAGGACTTGGATGACCTGCTGTATGCAGCAGAGATCCTGGAGATTGAATACCTGGAAGAGCAATGCCTCAAGATACTGGAAACCATCCAGTCCTCCGATGACAATGACACGGAGGTCAACCTTAACGATGGGAGCACGGAGGAGGACGATGAGCGCAAAGGCCACAATGGAGCCAAGAACTCCAAAAAGCATTCCATGCAGAGTCCCTATCTGTCCGGTAGCCAGCAAGTCCCCATCATGACCGGCATGGTGGATCAAAGTCCCTCTGTCTCCACCTCCTTCGGTGTCTCCACCCTAAGTCCCACCAAAGCTGCTGTGGACAGCCTGATGAGCATCGGTCAGTCTCTGCTCCAGCAGGGCTTTGGGGGTGAGCACGTTCTCCAAGGCAACTCCCAACCCCTGATGACTGAGATCAAGACGGAAATGATGCAAGTGGACATGGGTGGCAACGGCAACGACAGCCCTCCCAACATGGAGTCCAGTGCCTCCAGCAATGGAGAGCGAAGTGGCGAGGAGAGGAACCGAGACGGTCCAGGTACGCCAACCAGGAGCAGCGTAATCACCAGCGCCCGCGAGCTGCATTACGTCCGGGACGAAGCCATGGGCGACCCTCAAGCTGACGGCAGCCAGATGGGCCTGGAAGCAATGGCTGGGATGACGGAGAAACATCTCGCCTCGCTGTACTCCCTACCTGCCAATCATAAAGCAGATTCCTTCATGTCCATGCCGGCGTCCATGGCGGCATCCATGGCCTCTGCTCTCCCCATGTCCCCAGCCCTGGCAATGTCTATGGACTTCAGTGCCTATGGGGGACTCCTGCCGCAGAGCTTCATCCAGAGGGAATTCTTCAGCAAGCTGGGTGAGCTGGCTGTGGGCATGAAACCAGACGGCAGGAACCAGCAGGAACGTTGCAATGTTTGCGGGGCAGAACTACCAGATAACGAAGCCGTGGAGCAGCACAGGTAAGCAACGTTCTTTTATTCATTGTGTATTTTCTAATTCTTTTTTAAAAAACCTGATCACTCTGGAAATTGAAAGTCTGAAGTCAGTCAACATGATTGATTTGGGTAATGGGGCCTAAGCTATAAGCCTTTACCCCTGTTTAGTCACCTGTTTTTAGGGAATAGGGGGAATTAGTAATGTTTTCTTCTGCTTCAAGCTAAAACTGCACACATCCTTAGGACTGTGTGGCCACTGCTTCTCTCACTGCCCAGGTGACCGCTGTCGTTATATTGTCTACGGCCATTAGTCGTGTTGCAAGATGTGGGCGGCAGCTATCACACACACTTACCAAAGTGGTACCCTCTCATCCTGTGCCCGACTAACCTCCCCTTTCCCACAACTGCACAAGGGGGGGCTCTAATAAGCCTGATAATTAGAGTAGACGGTCAGCTCAGGAAATGCGTGCTGAACCTGGGCTCTTGGGCGAGGAGGTAGTTCTAGGACAGGGGAGTGGCAGTAAATCACTGCGGCCGCCTCAATCGGTGTATATAAATACATCGAGGCCTGGAAACTGCATTTAAAATAACTCAAAACGACATTTCATTTCATAGTATAAATGATACAATTGTCTTTGCAATTGCGTCAGCCCAGTCAGAGTACAAGCCCCTTGTGGAATGCAATCACTTGTGTGTTTTTGTGACTAGAGGCCTTTTTGTTTCACGAGGGCCACCTTTTCACCCTGCATGTATCATTCGGAATGCACAGTGGTTAAAGTCCACCTGATTTGAATCCCATTCTCCGTCCCCCTCACACTTGCGGCGCTATCTTTGGAATGCACGGCTGAAAACAGATTCCGTCCAAGCTTCTTGATTTGTAAAGCCGTCTCGTTGTCTGAGTACTACAGAATGGTGTTTACCCCAAAGAGAAGCGTCCTTGTTTGCTACCATACCTTACAAGGTTTTTATTCCAACATGCTGTTTAGTCAGACGGGTTTTTTTTGTGTCGGTAGTTACTTCAAAAAGTGTACAAATGTAAGTGGACCCTATGAACAGTGCTTCATATTCAGTAAATAAGGGGGCACATTTATGCATTGACAAATACCATGGTTCTGTAGCCGTACATTTTACTGCCCATGATCAGTTGTCCCAACGCAGGCTTGAACAAAAGCTTTGCCACGCACCGGGGCTTCTGTGCGAGATGGAGTATTGTTGTCTTACTGCGTCAAAGGACAGGCCACATTAGTCTCTGTCTTGAGGAGAGTCTGACGTGTGAAATGGTTGCCTGTGTTTCAAGAGGAATTTCATCAATTCGCTCAAGCCCGGGAAATCTTGTATCAAAGGAGATTTCCAAACCGTTTCATGCATTGATCTTAACGCCTCTTCCCACAGCATACTAATGGGTTAATTTAGACTGGTTGATACGCCGACACGACGCTGTTTAATATTGTACGCGCTGTCCTGACAGCCTCCCCGAAGTGTAGAAATCAAACATTGCATCACCCGCTGTCTGCTTTATCGTCCGCACATGAAAGGTCTGCTGCGCTACCCTGAGATCCGCGGTGATTACGACGCCTCTCAGTGTCCTCGCAGATTCCAATGTGGGTCATTTGGTAGCATATCAAGTCTGCGTGCAGCCCGTCAAACTGCACGAGAGGTTTTATTTCAGATGAGCGAGTACCCTCTGACTAATTACACAGCGTCTCCCCGCAGCCTCTGTGTCAGGGTCACTGCTACTTCTGCAACAAACGCATAAAAAAGTCGACAGAGTTGACTTGGCGCAGGCAGGTCAAGTCAAACACGGGTGTAATTATGTCCAGATGTGGCGCAGGTCGTTGGTGTGAGGTGTCTGTGTGTGTGTGTGTGTGTGTGTGTGTGTGTGTGTGTGTGTGTGTGTGTGTGTGTGTGTGTGTGTGTGTGTGTGTACGCGCGTGTATGTTAAAATGAACGAAGCAGAAAGTGCCCACTTCCTGTGTAAATTTAGTCTCGGCTCCCTTTCATTCCTCTGTGCCCTGGATTGTATCATTCAAAAAAACAAAAAACACCCCACCCAGAATGAATTCATTGTATATCGGCTCCACAAGTGGTGTGTGTGTGTGTGTGTGTGTGTGTGTGTGTGTGTGTGAGGCGTCCCTTATGGGACGTAGAAATGAATATGTAAGCACAGGCTGTGCAAGGTGTGGGCAATGCGGCAATAATATCATATCATATCATTTATTTTCAAGCAGGATCACAATCTAAACTTACCCCGGGTATTTTTTTTCCACTGAACAACAATTTCCGGTATCAAATAGAACGCTTTACATCCACACTAACCACTCTTCACGTCGACATTAATTCGATCTACCGCATTGCATTTATTTATATAGCAGCAGGTCTGCACTGGTGTATGCAGGGCAGGCCCCGCAGCGATGGATCGGCAACGAATAGCACAATACCATCTATCGTCCACTAAAGGCAGGTCGGGGAGACATTTTAATTGGTCACGATCTAATATCGTCATATCGGACGAGCCCGAGTGGTGCTACCTCGAGGCAGCGTTTGGTATCAATAACTCTGTAGTTTTTGGTACAGATTAAAATGGGGAACCAGTTATCGATGAAAGGTGATTTTAACGTTTGGTCCGAGTTTTGTATTTGCTTTTGTTCTTTGATCACAATGAAATCAACCTTTTTGCTAATTTTGGACCATTTTATTTTGTGGCTGCTTGTATTTTAAATCGGACAACTTCGCTTTTTTTAAATTCGGCTGTCAAGATTAGATTCTGTTATGAGTGAGTCATTCTTGGCACTACAGGAACATGTCACACGTGACATTCAGCCCCATGTCTTTTTAAATCATCTTCCAAAGAAATGAAGCTTAATGAAAGGCCAAACATGATAGGTTTAAGTATTCCCCATATTACCATGACAACCCCCCCACCCGCCAAGCTGCCTTCCTCCCAATCTCTCCCCCAGTAGTCCATCCCGCCACCTCCCCGCTGACAAACCCCAGATGTATTTCTTAAAGAGAGCTCAGGGTGACTGTTGTTGCCGCTTCAGGGAGACAGGATTACAGCAATATTATAGTAACCCTTGCACTGAGAAAATAATCAACACAGGGAGGGCCTGAGTGATTATTGGGGAAATAAATGCATGATGCGTGGGGTTAATTCTGCCGTGGCGGGGGGAAGAAGAAAGAAACCTCCACTGCTTGGTATTCCAAACACAGCGTCCAATTCACGGGAACTAGCCCTGGGTTTATCTCTTTCACTTAATCGTCCATTCTCATGCAAATGACTGACCCTCGCTGTAATGTACATCTCATAAGTGAAAAAAGAGCCTATTTTAAAGGAGCGCTTTCCTAGCATATGGCCGTTCAACATCACTGATAACCATCAATTCCTCTTTTTATAATAGAGCCAGGTTTTTTTTTTTTTTCATGAGGGGAACGAGGGAGTACTAAACATGAAGAGTCAATGCGTCTCTATTTCTCCTCTCTGTTTCCCCGGTTATTTTTTGCATTGATAAAAGCATTGGGGTACAAAGTGGGATAGGTGGAAATATCACCCCTGCCTTAACCTCCCGCAACGGCGCACACACTGGGGTCATTAACTTTTTACAACACATTCCCTTCAGCAGCAGCAGCGAGCAAGCAGGCGACGGGCAGGCCAGGTGCTCACTCTTCCATTTCCTCCTCTTTTGGTGCCAAAAGGGTTACGGAGGGCCGCTCTATACCCCCGCGCCCCAGGGTGTTTAAACAGTGGGCCTAAGCCCCTTATCTGTGCATATCAGAGTGGACCAGATACCCCTTGGCACTCCTCCTCAGTAAACCAAGAGCAGATCGAGCCCAGATAGCGCCCCAGAGCGTTTGTTCCAGGTGATAACGAGGTAGGCGCACACACACATATATACCTTTGCACGTGGGGGGGGGGGGGGGGGGGCAGCAGGAGGTTTGCAAGCACACTGACACTTGTGTGCATTGGCCACGGTCAACCATTAACCGCTGCTTTCTTCCCGTACGTTCACAACATGAGCGGCTGGGTGGTTGGGTTCAAATGGCCGCTCTGATGAGCGCCGTTTGCTTAAGACGGAGTGCAATAAGTGGTTGCTAGATGCTGGTTTTAAAAATGATCTGTATTTGCACACGGTTCCATTTGAATAAAGGAGCCTTTTGTTATTGCCGCACAGAAAGGGAGAGCAGCGTCTCTCTCTGCTCAGGTAGACATTGCTCCACGAGTATTTGTTTTGCATATTAATGCTCTGATTTCAATTGCTATGACCGCTTTCAGAGAAATCATTTCCCCCCTCAAGTGACCCTAAAGCGTGAATAGTTTTACTGCAGGTTTGCTTGATTGACAGGTGTCTCTGGCAATCGGCGGCGCTGGCTTCCGCTTTGTCCTCCTCCCTCGGTTTCACCAGACTCCGCCCACTTGTTTTGCGCTGTGGCTCCATTCGACTACGGGGATTAGGTGAATGAATCCGATTTGCAGAGAATCCATACATTGGCTTCGGTTTCCAATATCCGAGGGAGTGCCCAAGAGAGAACGGTAGAACTGTACGTTCCGAGTGCGCTCCTAATTTCCGTTCCAGTTTGTGCCCGAGTGCGCACCAAGGTTTGCATTGAAGATATAAATACAAATACACCGAATCTCTCGGAAATGCTGGCAGTACCTCGTCTTTTGTTCGTGAAATAGTTGAAGGTAAAACAGTTTCACAGTTCCTGAAAGCAGCCTGTCAACAAAGCATCCATTACATGGCAGTGGATTACCCTCTATTTGAAATCACTCTGTGAGCTAAGTCCCCCCCGGCTTGCACTCAGAGGTACAGTACATGTTGGTGTAATAATCCAACTGCACAAAAAGCCTCACTCAACCAAAACACCTGCAAAAAAAAAAATACCTCCACGACAGACAACAGCGGCGGGCTTATTCGAGCCCGCCCTGCCACACTGCCTCCCTTTTTTTTTTTTTTTTTTTCCTCACACAGGTGCCTCTTCTGCCCTTATTGGCGGTGCGGTGTTTTGCTCATACCCCCGAGGAACTG